TATATTTGAAAGGCCGTATACCACAAGAGGCCTTCGGTGAAATAAAATCAACTTATGGGGAAGATGCTCCATTATATGCCATTAAACATTGGCAGTTCAGGCATAGTTGGTGACCTGTGGAAATGGGTCCTATACCTGAACGACCCCTTGTCTGCCATTGATGAGGACACTGTCCATCAAGTGGGAACTGCCAATATGGAAGGTCACCGCCAGATAGGCCAGGATGTCAAAATTAGTGTTGAGTCTGTGTAGTGTTGAGTCTGTGTACAAATTCATTCATGACCATCTGCATATGCAAAGGTTGTCTGTTTCATGGGTTCCCAGGCTACTTTCCAGAAGCAGGAACGAGTACATTGTCCCAGGGTCCTTTTAGCCATGTGACCCCCCCCCCCTCCCCGAAAAAAAAAAAAAAAAACAGTAAGAATTTTTCCCAGACTAAAATTACGAATTGGGTTCATCATTATAATCCAGTGACTAAGGCCCAGTCAAAACAATGGAAGTTCTTTGACTCCCCCCCCCCCCCCCCCCACAAAAAAGGCATGTGTAACTCCATCGGCAGGCAAGGTCGTGCTCACAGACCAGCATGGAATTGTGATGATGGATTTCCTGGTAAAAGCTTACCACGCTTTGCTGCTACAGAAACTGCGGGAGGCGATATATATCTATCTATATATACACACACACACAAACGTATGTGTGTGTGTGTGTGTATATGTGTGTGTGTGTGTGTGTGTGTGTGTGTGTGTGTGTGTGTGTGTGTGTGTGTGTGTGTGTGTGCGCGCGCGTGTGTGTGTGTGTGTGTGTGTGTGAGTGTGTGTGTGTGTGTGTGTGTGTGTGTGTGTGTGTGTGTGTGTGTGTGTGTGTGTGTGTGTGTGTGTGTGTGTGTGTGTGTGCATACGGACGATACGAGAAACTACATCAGCTACAAAAAATAAAGAAACGCATTCATTTCTCTAATTTCGAGCGGGAGCGATGCTAACAGGACGGACGAAAAAAAAAAGAGACGCGAGAAAATATTAAATTCACCGCATACACTTCGTGATAAAACTTATTAAAGGCGATGCCACGGTCGAGACTCCGAACGCGGCCTGGCGATGCTTTTGATTTGGTTTCGTGACAGTGAGGAGAAGGACGCGATTTCGGGAAGAGGAGCGTAACCATGGCAACAGCCCGACGCTGGGGAATGCGGTGGAATGTAATTTTTTTCTTAGTTTTCATAAGTGGGATGTAGCTTGAATAAGTTCATGAATATTTGTTTTGCTCACGATCATTAATATTATTATCATTAATATTATTACCATTATTATTATTACTTTTATTATTGCTTAAAGTTGGTTTGAGTTTGCTAGCATTCGTAAGTTTCCTTAGTCATCTAGATGTTTCCTCTAGTAATGATAATCGACTCCTCTCTTTCACCTTAATCACACAAGTCTACACAAAGAGAGAGAGAGAGAGAGAGAGAGAGAGAGAGAGAGAGAGAGAGAGAGAGAGAGAGAGAGAGAGAGAGAGAGAGAGAGAGAGAGAGAGAGAGAGAGAGAGAGAGGGAGAGAGAGAAAGAGAAAGAGAAACATTATGTCGCAGTCAAGCAAAGACCGCGAAACCGAACAAACCCACTTGCATTAAAGAAAGGTCCGACGCCTCCACGCGTCCGAACACTTAGCGAAATGACTCGAAGGAAACCGTTATCACTGATTGATTCCAGTAACGATGTTTTGAAGACAAAAGTCTAGCCACAATTGCGAGAGTGTAGAAGTCCCACGGCAGCGGAGTGGCAGTGATGAGCATTTCTTAAATTCACTGTTCATCTCATCTTGGCTCTCATCTCCCGAGGGATGTTCTCTCATTTCCGCGGATTCCAGATGAGCTTTTTTCTTTTTTTCCGTTCTATTTTTTCACTCTGCCTCTCTGTCTGTGCCTGTCTCTTGTCATTCTCATTGTCTGTTTGTCTTTTTTATCTGTGTCTCCAAGTTTTTCTTTGCTGTCTGTTTCTCTCTCTCTCTCACTCTCTTTCTCTCTCTCTCTCTCTCTCATTCTTTCTTTCTCTCTCTCTCTCTCTCTCTCTCTCTCTCTCTCTCTCTCTCTCTCATTCTTCTTCTCTCTCTCTCTCTCTCTCTCTCTCTCTCTCTCTCTCTCTCTCTCTCTCTCTCTCTCTCTCACCTTCACACTCTCCTTCTTCTCTGTCTCCATCTCCTTCTCCTTCTCCTTCTCCCTCCTCTCTCTCTCTCTCCCTCTATCCTTCTCTTTCCCTCTGCCTCTTCTTGTCTCTTCCCTTCACCATGCTTTCGTTACATAACCCCTATGTAGAACGTTCAGTTTCCTAGGTGATTCCACCCTACTATATGAATAGAGAAGAAAAAGGGGGAAAAAATAAAACTATATAAGAAAAAAATAAAAATGAAAAGTGTAGACGTATTGAAAAAAATACAAAATAGATAAAAAGACCAAGAAGACGAAACGAGATGGAAAAATGTAAAATAAATAAATAAATAAATAACCGTGTTAGTTTCAGAAAAAAACTGTGGTTATTTGGCAAAAGAGAGGGAAAAGAAAGATGAAAAAATAAAAAGAGAGAAACAGAGATGAAGAGATAGTAGTAAGGGAATGAAGAGGGAAGAGGTGAATACGTAAGAACGGAAGGGAAGTCGAAAAAAAAAAACTATTTTTGGTCTGTTTGTTTGGGTTTCATCTGCGTTTTTTATGTTCTCGAAAATCCACAGCTCGAGAAAAAGAGAAATCAAATAAAAAAAAAATAATGGAAAAGAAAATTAAAAATCTAACCTAAAACACACGTAAAATACAGTTGGTTTCACAGATACGCATTGAGAGAAAAATCATTTCCAACCATTGGTGGGAATTTAAAAATGTATCATGCCATCAGTCACGTTTAGAAGGATTCTAAAATTCGACCCGACAGAGGAGAGCCAGACGGAGAGAAAGAGAGAGTGTGTGTGAGAGAGAGAGAGAGAGAGAGAGAGAGAGAGAGAGAGAGAGAGAGAGAGAGAGAGAGAGAGAGAGAGCGACAAAAACGGGGAAATATTTATTGTATATACAAGTATACATGTAGAGAGATACAGATATAGCGCGCGCGCGCACACACACACACACACACACACACACACACACACACACACACACACACACACACACACACACACATACACACACGTTATGTACACACACACACACACACACACACACACACACACACACACGTATATATGAAAGATGGAATAATGCAATACCGCATTGATATAGATATATAACAATCCTCCCTGACCTGGCCTCGAACCTAGGTCACTCCGGGTATGAGACCGGAGGGCCAGTACTAAACCAACCATGCCACACGACCCACTAAAAGGAGTGTGCAACTAGGATCCAACTAGCTCCATAGACATTACCTATCTACTCATCATGAGTAAGATAGCGAGGTTTTACACACACTCCCCGTGAGCACTCGGTGGGAATTGATTTAGAAATTCGAAACCGAAGTCAGATATCCTGAGGTATATATATGAAAGATGGAATAATGCAATACCGCATTGATATAGATATATAACAATCCTCCCTGACCTGGCCTCGAACCTAGGTCACTCCGGGTATGAGACCGGAGGGCCAGTACTAAACCAACCATGCCACACGACCCACTAAAAGGAGTGTGCAACTAGGATCCAACTAGCTCCATAGACATTACCTATCTACTCATCATGAGTAAGATAGCGAGGTTTTACACACACTCCCCGTGAGCACTCGGTGGGAATTGATTTAGAAATTCGAAACCGAAGTCAGATATCCTGAGGTATATATATGAAAGATGGAATAATGCAATACCGCATTGATATAGATATATAACAATCCTCCCTGACCTGGCCTCGAACCTAGGTCACTCCGGGTATGAGACCGGAGGGCCAGTACTAAACCAACCATGCCACACGACCCACTAAAAGGAGTGTGCAACTAGGATCCAACTAGCTCCATAGACATTACCTATCTACTCATCATGAGTAAGATAGCGAGGTTTTACACAGTGACCTAGGTTCGAGGCAGGTCAGGGAGGATTAGGTTATATATCTATATCAATGCGGTATTGCATTATTCCATCTTTCATATATATACCTCAGGATATCTGACTTCGGTTTCGAATTTCTAAATCAATTCCCACCGAGTGCTCACGGGGAGTGTGTGTAAAAACCTCGCTATCTTACTCATGAATGATAGATAGGTAATGTCTATGGAGCTAGTTGGATCCTAGTTGCACACTCCTTTTAGTGGGTCGTGTGGCATGGTTGGTTTAGTACTGGCCCTCCGGTCTCATACCCGGAGTGACCTAGGTTCGAGGCCAGGTCAGAGAGGATTGTTATATATCTATATCAATGCGGTATTGCATTATTCCATCTTTCATATATATACCTCAGGATATCTGACTTCGGTTTCGAATTTCTAAATCAATTCCCACCGAGTGCTCGCGGGGAGTGTGTGTAAAACCTCGCTATCTTACTCATGATGAGTAGATAGGTAATGTCTATGGAGCTAGTTGGATCCTAGTTGCACACTCCTTTTAGTGGGTCGTGTGGCATGGTTGGTTTAGTACTGGCCCTCCGGTCTCATACCCGGAGTGACCTAGGTTCGAGGCCAGGTCAGGGAGGATTGTTATACACGTATATATATGTGTATATATATATATATATATACATATATATATATATATGTATATATATATATATATACACACACATATATATGTATATATATATATATATATATATATGTGCATATATACATATGTATATATGTATATGTATATATATATATCTGTGTGTGTGTGTGTGTGTGTGTGGATGTATGTATATAAATATATATGCATATATATATATTTATATACATATATATACAGCGCGGATGGCGACACTGACCACTCTTTGGTCCTGTCAACCATAAAGCTTGGCACCAAACCAAGAACCCAGAAGAAGAAAGTCTGCAGAAAGTACCTAGATACAGCTGCCATGAAAGACCCGATCTGCATAGAAACATTCCACAAAAAGTTTACTGAACAAATGGATCTGAACCCCATAACTGAAGACGACAGTGCCACAGTTAGCTGGGACACCCTTCAAGAAGCACGTTTTGAAGCCGCCAAGTCAACCTTCGGTATCAAGAAACGTGCGGATACTGACTGGCTTGACGCTAACATGGACGTGCTGCTTCCACTGCTTGAGAGGAAAAATGCAGCACATCATCAGTTCAAGACCCGAGCAACCCGTGCAAGCCTTGACCTGCTGAAGGTGGCTAGAAGTGCTCTTCAGAAACAGATGCGCTACTGTGCCAACAACTACTGGAAGAATTTGTGCCTAGAGATCCAAAACGCCTCAGACCTGGGTAACTTTCGCAAGCTCTACCAAGGCTTAAAAAAGGCCATAGGTCCATCTATGAGGAAAGTTTGTCCTTTAAAATCCTCCGACGGCACCATGATCACAGACTCGAACCAGCAGCTTGCCAGGTGGGTCGAGCACTACTCAGAACTGTACTCTGAGCCCCGGCCCATCAAAAAGGAAGCCATAGAAGGCACTCCCAGCTTTCCAGAAGCGCAGCAGCTGGATGCCATGCCGACTATGAACTAACTGATAGCTGCCCTGAAAAGTACCCCAAGTGGGAAAGCGCCCGGACAGGACGCCATTCCTGCTGATCTGCTCAAGTGTGACGAAGACCTCCTTCCCTATCTCTACGAAATCCTCCGCAAGTCCTGGTCAGAAGGTGCTTTTCCAAGAGACTTGCGCGATGCAAAGATCACGACACTTTACAAAAACAAAGGAGACAAAGGAGATTGCAACAACTATAGAGGCATCTCACTCCTAAGTGTGACCGGAAAAGTGTTTGCGAGAGTCCTACTAGCACGCTTTCAAGCTCTTGCAAATAGGGTGTATCCTGAGTCGCAGTGTGGTTTCCGATCAAACCGGTCCACAGTGGACATGATCTTCTCTCTCAGACAAATTCAAGAAAAGTGTAGAGAACAACATCGTCCCCTGCACATGGCTTTTGTTGATCTAACAAAGGCCTTCGATATGGTCAGTCGAGAGGGCCTATATGCCGTGCTTAAAAAAATCGGGTGCCCTCCAACACTACTCAGCCTCATCTGTTCCCTTCATGACGGGATGCAAGCTGCCGTCATGTTTGAAGGCTCTCTGTCTGAGAAGTTTGCAGTAAACAGTGGCGTAAAACAAGGATGCGTGCTTGCGCCAACCCTCTTTGGCATTTACTTCTCTGCCCTACTACATCACGCATTCCATGACCTCAGCGAAACGGTGTCTTCCTACGCACAAGGTCTGACAAAAGCCTATACAACCTTGCTCATCTCAGGGCAAAGACTAAAACACGTCGCTTCCTGGTACGCGAGCTCCTTTTCTCCGATGACGCAGCTTTTGTGTCACATAGCGAAGCCGGCCTGCAGACATTGATGGATCGCTTCGCAAAAGCTTGCGACGACTTTACGCTCACCATCAGTAAGAAAAAAACTGTGGTTATGCACCAAGCAAGAGTCCCTGTAAGCACTATCCTCGTCGACGGCGAGCAACTAGAAAATGTTGATACTTTTTGCTATCTTGGCTCTGTCATCACCAATGACTCCTCGCTTGAGAAGGAACTTTCGTCTCGCATAGGTAAGGCTGCTACAGCCTTCAGCCGCCTGACCACCCGAGCCTGGAGAAACCGCAGCCTCACCGAGAAAACGAAAGGTGCCATTTATAAGGCTTGTGTCCTTAGCGTCCTGCTTTACGGCTCGGAGACGTGGCCAACCTACGCGCGGCAAGAACGCAAACTCCATGCGTTTCACATGCGGTGTCTTAGGAGCATCCTTGGAATAACCTGGCAGGATAAGGTCACCAACGCCGCTGTTCTGGCCCGAACTGGGTGCGAACCCCTCATCCAGGTCTTGCGGGCCCGACGGTTGAGGTGGCTGGGCCACGTACGCCGACTACCCGATGGACGCCTTCCCAAGGACATCCTATATGGCGAGCTGGACAGCGGCGCTAGAACCTTGGGAAGGCCCCTCCTCCGTTTCAAGGACGTCACAAAAAGAGACTTGATAAACTTAAACATCATTCCTCTCAACTGGGAAGATCTGGCGGAGGACCGCCCCGCATGGCGGGCTATTATCAGGAGACTATGACCTGTAGTGTTATTATTGCATGCTTATATATTTATACACACACACACACACACACACATATATATATATATATATATATATATATACAGTAGAAATCGCCTAAGTCGAAGTCGCACAAGTCGGATAATCGCGCAACTCGGTCCCGATTTTTCCTAACATTATTTCCATTAAATTTAGTCGCGTAACTCGGAGACTACAAGTCGGATTTTCGTGCAACTCGGATGGAATTTCCAGTCCCGATGTAATGCATTTCCATTGAAATCACATCGTGTAAGTCGGATGAGGTTTGGCTTTACATCAATACTATAAAACATAGCCTACGCCAGCGCCAATACCGTGTCATAATATGCTCATTGGCTCACAGACTGCTCAAAACATCTACGGTAAGTGACCTTAATTATTAGTAGCGCCGGAGTATCGGGGCCTTGCAGTCAGCAGGTCTACGCATCCCTGTATTGTTCTTAACTGAGCGCATTCTGCGAAAGACGCACGAGACAGCCGCCACGCGCCACCAACTTCATTAATCATAATTTTTGTGGAATATTTGGCCAATGACAACTACGCATTCGGCGTCAGTCGGTTAGTTCCGACTTACGCTTAGACGGATTTTCTGTAAGTCGGATAAAGTTCACTGGTCCATTTTCATCCGACTTAGGCGATTTCTACTGTACACACACACACACACACACACACACACACATACATACATATATATGTATATATATATATATATATATATATATATATATATATATATATATATATATATATATATATATATATATATATATATATATATATGAATAAGGCGAAAACGCTAGATTGTTTGTAATAATGATAGTAGCGGCTAATATATATGTATATATATGCATATATATATATATATATATATATATATATATATATATATATATATATATATAGATAGATATAGATATATAGCCTAGATATATATAGATTTATATATAGGTAGATAGATATGGATTTATAGATATAAAAATATGTGTAGATATATAGATAGATCTATAGATAAACACATGGAGGATAGACCGATAAATAAATAGGTAGATTGGCAGACACAAAAAGATAGATAAATAGACAAATAGATAGATAGATAAATGGACAGATAGATGACAATAGAAGAGATAAATAGACATACAAACAGATGAATAAATAGAAAGCTCAAGTAAGCTTGTAATCCCATCCACAGTGAGGTCTATCACGTGGACTTAGAAAAAAAAAAACCCTGTTAAGCGAAACCTGTCTAAGAACTAGTAACCTCATATCTTCTTCTAAGATTTTTTTTTTTCTCCTGATTTTTCATTCTTTTTTTTTCTTTCTTTCTCATTTTTCTTTTTTCTTCTTCTTTCCTTCTCTCATAAGCTCAACTGACTAAAGGATGTTTTGTTCCCCTTTGTCAATAGTGACCGCGCTTCGGGAGTCTGAGCTGAAAAGAATCCGCTGGGGCAACTTCCAGCCTGGTTTCTCTGCTAGAAGGGTTTGTGAAGAGAATTCTGCGAACAGAGGTCGATGTTGCTTGATTATTTGCGGTCATGATATGCATATACATACTGATATCCATGCGTGTGTATGCATATATATATATCTGTGTGTGTGTGTGTTTGTGTGTGTGTATACATGGACTACAACCAAATTACTGAAGAGGAAACTAACAAGTGCCCAGAGAGGGATAGATAGGTTGATGCAGAGAATTAGCCTATAAGATCGGATGAGGGAACAGACAAAGGTGGAAAATATACTCGGGAGCATCAAAAAGAAAAAAATGACATATATGACATATATGTGTATGTGTGTATGTGTGTGTGTGTGTGTGTGTGTGTGTGTGTCTGTGTATGTGTATATCTATTCTTTCTTAAATATATTTATCAAGATTATTGATCTGATAATTATATACAGCCATCCATCGTGTCATTACACGTACTTTGCCATAAATCGATAAAGCAATGTAGTGAAAAGGACCATAAAATTCATTATTGTACTCAATATGCGCAAATCATACTAGGGCGAGTTCCAGGATCCTATAGCAAGCGATAGATTATCCTCACCTGACATATGATGCGTTATCCAAAAAATCTCACCGGGGAAATATTCGTGAATACTCGACCATAATTTCTCACCATCACTCCTAAGAACTCTCTCATCGCTCTAAAGGTCAACGACGATTGCTGCTTGTGTCTCTCCGTAATAATGTCAGATGATCTCGATAACTGCGAGGAGGGAATATTTCCGTGCAACACCGGAAACGGCAATGGCAATGCATCCATCTCCTCTTGCTCCGAGGTAACGGCGGTGGTGGACTGAGGTTTATAATGATCGCATTATAAACGCAAATATAAGACAAAAACATTTGCATCTGGTAAAGTCCTTTTCTCACTCCATGTAAATATGTATAAATCTGATTCACAGAAACTATAATCTTTAAAAATGTTTACAAGCGCATAATATAACAAAGGAGCACTCCTCATAAGAACAACAGCTCAACAGAAATTACTTACCTTCGTGGGCGATTAATCAGTAGCCGTACTTACATCCTTGATACAACTTTATAATAAGAATACAATTCAGGGAAAAGGATCATAAAACTCTTGTTGTATTCAAATATGCCTTTATTATGGCTTTCAACCTTACACATATACAAACAAGCGATAACACAAATAAAAGAAAAATAACAAACTTAAACTTTCTGCGTATATATAGCTGCGGTAACCACCATCTCACATGTTCGTCCATGATTCCTTCCTCTTCGCCCACACGCGCAGCCCGGCACGCAACCGATATAGCATTTCTAAGGCGATGAACTGCCGATTGTATTAACTACTAATCTTGCGAAAATTAGTGACGGTTCGAATTATAGGTCTTGAATTGCATCCTCAGTCTCTTGTTGGTAAGTTTATTCTGATTGGTTAGAAAGAGAGGCGCGGGAAGTCTCACACTTTAACACAATGATGTCGAGTTTTTACAGGGAGTGGTGATGCCTCAATGCCTCTTTGCGAAGGTCACTGGTGAGCGGGCGAGTGAAATAACCGTTGGCACCACTAAAGAATTCACCCGTCTCGCTTTTTTATCTAAAAAGACCGATATAAACATCGATTATAGTTCCTCCGTTTTATGATGGAAGAAAAAAGACGAATCAGCACAGAATGAGGACTAGCTCTTCAGTAATTTACCCAATCTTTATAACCCCTCCACAATCTCCGCCAGATTGTCTATTTTACCTGCTTTCAAGTATACGGGAAGAGAAGGAACTATGCAACGGCAACCTACTTGTTAATTACCGTAATCTCTTTCAGAAGGAGTATGCTCTATAGCCAATAGAGCCAAAATATAGCAAATTTACACAGATTATGGACATAATTCACCCAAGATTTACTTCTCGCTCTCCCCGCAAGTCTTTCTCACCTGCCTACAAATTTGCGGCAAGAGATGGCGCTAGATAATTTTTCGGAGACGGTCACCTTACTGTCGGACTGTGGTAATTTACTTCGACGGGAAGCGCGCATTCAGGCAGCACTTTTGAAGTAATGCATTCATATATTATCTTGAAACTCGTTGTGCAAAGAGAAATAGATATTTTTACGTTGGCATTGAGTAAAATTTGCTACTTGACCTCTTCTGATTCCTGGTAAAAAAAATATATATCCTTTGACAGAGATATATATTTTTCACTAACTCACTAATTACTGTAGCGGCAAAGAGCGTCAAAGGCCTCTATAACTATTTTTTTTTATTTTCAAAAATCAAAATACTTGTATAAAAAGAAAGCTTCGAGTAATTGTTAACACATTTTTCCCTTTTGGCAAATGGACTTTTACTACATATGATTTTTTTTTTTTTTTATGAAGTATGAAAAAGTTTTAAGGTAAAATGATATAATTCCTCTGCCCTTCTTGTCACAGAGCTTTTTTTATATATATAATTTTACGTGTAGTGGACAAAGGCAGAGATTTTTGACCAAAAGTAAATTTACTCCGAGAGACTAAAAATGTACATGGCAACCTAGGTGCGATGGGTTTTACCAGGCAACATGCCTGATAATGTTTGATGCGTATTTTAAAAAGATGTTATTAAATTAAGATATTAGCATCTAAATATTCTTTTTTCATGTCAAAATATTCTTTGAAAAATATAAGATGAATAAAGATGCTTACCTTTTCTTTCCATGTGTTTATATAAGACATTCCTCTTTTTTTTCTTTCTTTTTTTTTTACCTGGCACTAAAGAGGTATATAACGAACGATATACAGTCGCACAGGTAAATCATAAGGGAAGAGTTAAAAATCAAATACCTAAAGAAGGAAAGCAAAAATAGATGCAATATTTTCAGAAATTGTGTTTTATATAGCAAGTAAAAAAGCAAAACACTCATTTGAAAAAAAAAAAAAAAAATTATATATATATATATATATATATATATATATATATATATATTCCCATTTCGTCATAATGAGGGAGAGAAAAGCGCTCTTTTACTTAAATCAGAAAAAGGAAAATGGCCTTTTATTGAAATACAAGGTTGTTTGAAGTATGTGCATGCATAGAGCTTTTTTTGCAGACAAGTAAAATATATGGTACTGTTAAAGTGTTATCGTATTGCTACCACCTTTAACAAAACGGATGTATTTTACAGCAAGATGAGTTTTGAGGAATTTCATACATTTGTCTTTCCTGCAACAGAACTGTTTATTTGCGATGAACTGCATAGTTAACCTGGAAATCACCTACCTTCAGCCATTTGACCGTGGTATATCCCTATGTTACAGATGGGTAGAACATTTTAGAACGGTTCGCCTCTGCTGTTGGTCCTCGTAGCACATCCTTCTACACACTTGTTCGTTCCGCTAGCCCAAGGTCTGTTCTCCCCATCAAACATGCCTGCACTTGTTAGAGGGGCCCCTTCCCTTCTCCCGCTCCCGATCCTCCTCCCCTAGACTGAGCGCGATGGTGTTTTTGCCGCGAGGAAGTAAAAGTAGTGATTATGT